ATGCCTGCCCAAGTTGCGGGCGAGCTGAACCCCTTCCAGAAGCGGTCACGTGGTAGCAAGGCTTTGGATGTCATCTATTTTTGCTCCTCCCCCAAATGAAGCAAGCTTTGATACGCGCCTTCTGGAAACGCCAGTACTCTACACACGCCTCGAAGCCTCTACTCATCTCATAACATCACTAGGTATAACCTTCCTACAGTAAACACCATTAGTAAAACTCAATCTGACAAACAAATATTTGAAAGAATGACTTAAATATAAGATATGAAATGTAAATTTGGAAAATAATTTGTAAAAAAAAAATGAATTAAAATTTCTTTTGGATATAAAATCTGTAAAAAAAAAAACTGTTGAACCAAAAAGTAAATAAAATATAAAGAGTAAACTAGAGAAGTAGAGGATTGAAAACAGCAAAGTTTCTCTCAAACCCTTTTTGATGGCATTTGTTCTTTATTTTATGATTAACAAAGTGTGTGCCTTTACTACAACAACAATTACTCCATACAACAGCAAAAAAAGCTAAAATATATTCAAAGCTCAATAAACTTCTAATAAAAAAAAAAAAAAAAAGAAATCTAATCTGATGAGAGAGGTTTAATAGAGCAAGTAACCAACAAACCTATAAGATAATGATCATTTTAAACGAGGAGAAAAATATGGATTTATTATCTGTTAAAGGGATTTTATGATTGATTATTAAATTTTTCCAGAATGATAAGTGAATATTTGACCTTGAGTTCCAGCCTATAAGATTTGTGTTTTTTAGCAAGTAAAGCTATATTTGTTTTTAATTAAAACATACTGGTGATAAATCTCCTAAATGGTAAAGAGGGGGCTGTGATGCTGCAGCCCAAATAAGTGGAGAGATTGTAAAATTTTTCTCCAACTGTAGTTAACAGAAGTATAGAACCAGAGAGCATAGATGCATGTAGCAGGTTAACCTGGGTACAGTGAGAATAGGGCGGATGTGAAGTCGATTTTAGATAGCCAATGTTGATAATGATATCTGTGGATTACTTTGAACTGAATTACCTAAGGACTGGAATTTTTGGTCATTAGAAAAAAGTTACAAATTTGTTGAAATTGATCCAAAGTCAATAAATTGATAGATCTGATTGCTATTCTATTGTTGGGATTGCTATTGATCGATATAGATTTTTTTTTACATCTAGAGGGGATAATTGGCTCTTAATAAACGAAGCAGAATTTCATTTGAAAAAGATCCAGATGATGTTTGTCCACATTATATGTTTTAACAATTATAATGTTCTTTATGTCACGACTCAGAACAGGGGACCAGGTGTTCAAGGCTGACAGATAATTTAAAAGTGTTTATCAAAAACTGGTGGACTGTGGATCTGCAGTAGTAGTGGCTAGGGTGTCCATTGCAGGAACCTCTGCAGGAAAGAAACACAGGTTAGTGTGGCGGAGGAAGATTAGAAACATGAGTCACTAACCTGGTTTACCAGTTCAGTCCGAGCCCAGAGAATGAGCTAGGATCCAGCCTGTGGGCTTCCAACAAGCGTCCCAGATGCTGTAGCCTGGGTGGAGTACAGATCCGGGCAGATGAAGGAGTGCAGGAAAATCCAGAGGGCAAAGCCAAAGACGGGGTCGAGGATGTGCTCAGGATTCAGAAGCAAGAGATAAGAAGTCTGAAAAGGTTCAAAAGTGAAAATTGAGGTGGTTAACAGGAAACAGCTCCAAGTTCATTAATCAGGTAGAATCCTGCAGGAGTCAGAAAAACAGGTCAGGCAAACAGATCAGATGGAACCGGCAGGCTCATTGGTTGAGAGGCAGAAAAGGTCAGGATCAGGGAATCAGAAACACTAAGGTAACGATGAACCGCCCTCACCACTAGCTCGACAATAATCTCAGCTGATGACTGGAAGCAGGCAGGTTAAAACAGATCAGACAGGAGCAGACGGTCTCAGTGGTTGAAAGGCATCTGGCCTGATGACTGATTAGAGAGCTGGTTAAATAGAAGCAGGAGCAGGTGGATCAGATGAACAATAATGATAAAATGGGCAGAGCTAGGCAGGTGAATGAAGTAAATAAGCCAGTCATCAGCGCCAAGATTATGACATGTTTAAATATTATCATGCGTCGAAGTACATTGAAAAAAACTTGGATATATAGAGTTAAACTTCAATATATTACTTTAAATTGAAATATATTGAAGAAAACATCAGAATATATGTAACAAAAGTTAGACAGGCCTAAAACTATTTTGGATCCTGTAATTTCAAATCACACATGCATGATTGAGAACTTCACGTCTGGTGGGGTGATGTACACATTTTGGCAGGTCAAAAGCTGTCATAATTTAATCAAAAACTATTTAAACTTAATTTATTTGTTTTTAGTTACATTTAATATATATATATTTTTTAATAATCTCATGATTGTAGAAAAAAGAGCACTTGGAAATCATATCACGCAGCAGCCCTTTTGTTCCCCTGCCACTTGTTACCCAGGAAACTGGTTTTATTATTTTTTTGGATTTATGACAAAGGAAAAAATTAATAATTGTTAATGATCTTTATCAGAAGCTCACTTTAAAAAGTCTTGGCAAGAGTTTTAATTGTGTCTTCTAGTCTCTTACATGTATTCTTCATCAGAGGAGGTTAGCAACAAGTTACATCTATTCAGTAACAGTGTCTTTTAGAAGAAAATGTACTCTTACTGTAGGAGTGTTGTTAATTACTTTACTTTTTACTTTTGCTTAGATGATATTGCTGTGAGAGTATCGCTACCCTTACATGCTGTTACCATGAGGATCAAATGGGAAATCAGGTCAAAAAAACAGTAAACAGCAGTGATTGTGGCTGGAAGTTATTTATCCTCTCATGACATCATCATCATATGCATTACTGTATTGAAGAATGGTTTAATGATTTTATGTTGAAAAGTTTGATTTACAAAGTTGACATATTCTGTTTTGTGCAAAATAAAGTCTGTAATTAAGTCATTCAAACTTCCATCTTGTAAGAGTTACAAAGTAAAGGGACGTGTCTGAAGAAAGCATCAATGCATATGGCAGGATGTTTTATCACACAAATGTTTGGTTCATCTGAACGCCACCTTCATGACCAACCACACCTTGATCTAAAGGGCCTTCTAGGATCCAATCAATAAGCTCCCTGGAAAGGTATGCTTTCTTCTTTCTTTTTTTCTAAGATGCAATAACTTCATCAAACTAGGCTGAATTAACTTCATAAATAATGTTCACAAAACAGAGCGAGCAGTACCTTGAACAAAACTTGTATTCATACCGACTTTTATTTTTTAACCCAATGGTTTCCAAGATTCTTTTCTTAAGTAAAGCCAACCTATCAGATTTAGATTTTAGAGTTATTCTGGATTTTTTGTTTTAGCAAGAAATGACCTATAAAGCTATCTTGGATTAAACATCTTTCCACTTTCCTATCCAGGGGTGATGCTCAGAAACTAGCGTTTGTTACTTCAATGCTGGACTATTGTAATTCTTTACTATCAGGAGGTCCACAAGCTGTAGTTCAAAGCCTTCAGCTGATCCAAAATGCTGCAGCCAGAGTTCTGATGAAAATTAAAAAAAGAGATCATATCTCTCCTATCCTGGCTTCTCTTCATTGGCTTCCTGTTAAATCCAGAATAGAATTTAAAATCCTCCTTCTCAAATATAAAGCCTTAAATGGCCAAGCTCCATCTTATATCAGAGATCTGATTGTTCCTTATATTCCTAAAAGAGCACTTCGATCTCATTCTGTAGGTTTACTAGTGGATAGAATTTCTGAAAGTAGAATGGGAGGCAGATCTTTTAGTTATCAGGCTCCTCTCCTGTGGAACCAACTACCAGTTTTAGTCTGTGAGGCAGACACCCTGTCTACTTTTAAGGCTAGGCTTAAAACTTTCCTTTATAATAAAAAAATATAGTTAAAGTGGTTCAGATTATCCTTAGCTATCTCTATAGTTATGCTGCTATGGGCTTAGACTTCTGGAGGACATAGGGACCCCTATTTCATCATTCTGCTGCATTCTATCTCTATTCTCCCACTCTGTAGAATCTGTTAGTTCAATCTCTAACGTTCTGCTCTCTCTGTTTTTTCTCATAGTAGCTTCGCCTCGTCTGTTCCTGTTTGGCTGTTATTCCAGCCTGGAGAGAAATATCAGCTGTGCTAAAGCCATCACCAACTATGTTTATAGATGTTGGAGATCGGCCTGTTTTTCAGTGTAGTCCTGTTTCTCTGACTGTGACTGGCTGGATATGCTCTCTTCATCCTCTGACATGGGAGCTGGCTCTGAGCTCGTCTGCATGGCTGTGTGATCCTGTTTCCGCCTTTTACAGCTGCTTTTTATATCTCTGCTTCTGTCTACTTGAACTCCAGTCGGCCTCAGCAGATGGCCGCTCACACTGAGCCTGGTTCTGCTGGAGGTTTCTTCCTGTTAAAAGGAAATTTTTCCTCTTCACTGTCGCTACAAGCATGCTTAGTGTGAGGGATTGCCTTCAAGTCAATAAGTTGATGAATTCAACTGGTTTTCCTTAGATAGAAAACTTTGAATCCATCTGACTGTATGATCTGGTGAACTGTAAAGTGCCTTGAGATGACATGAGTGAGTCTGCAATAATGGCTTTTCCTCATCCTCCTTTTTTTATTGGTCACAAACACCAAAAATGGTGAATCATTCCACTTAAGCTTTAACTTTGTGCTGTTCTATCACCTTAATCAAAACAGAATAAATGAAATTGCCTGGCTATATGGATGAGGTTTCCCTGCCATGCCTTAAAGCGCACAGCAATCATGCCTCTATATTTTTTTCCTGCTCTCTACAAACTGCCGGAGACTCTCTCAGTAGACTACCTCTAGGACCCAGTGTGTCTCCTTTGTAGTTTTTTGAGGCGATGAGGGGAGACCGAGAGATTGCTTCTTGCCTATCACGATTCTCATCGCGGCTCAGCGAGCTGAGAGGAGGAGGATGAGCGCAATTTAAAGCCAGGACCTGCAGCACCTCATATCCTTCATTCATCTCCTTTAATTGATCTCTAATGCTCTCCCACCATACTTATAATTTTTTTTTTCCTCAACAGAAACCCTTTTAAATATTTTGATGCATTTTTTATATTTTTTTTGTGGTTGAATCTTGGGGGAGTATGAGAGGCAGATATGATGTGAGGAATGTGGGACCATGAATTATCAATGCGCGCAGCTTTGTTCGTGTGACAGGCTCGCATTAGGACAGTCTGCCAAACAGCTGAATAACTGTTAACTTTCCTGCGCATCTTCGACGTCTCCAGCCTCAGCAGCAGGTAGCCGACTTCTCGCGCATGAGGTGAGCCTAAATGCAATTTGCATCTGGATGCATTATTTATTTTTTCCCCAATATTTCCATTTTATCACCGATGGAAACGTGGGAGAGACGCTCCATCCATCCACCCATCGCCCATGCTTTGTGTTTTCCTCCTCCTATAGTCTGCATGTGATGGTTTTTATCGACCTAATTAGGGACGCGGTGTGATCTTGTATTGGTGGGTGACTGCGCGCGTGGGACGTGCCAGTGAATACTAATTACATCCAGTCTCTGCCCCCCCTTTCCTGTTTGTTTATTTATTTTTTTATTTATTTGAGGGATTCCCCCAGAAATGTGCCACCCAGCCTCCCGCTGTCTCATTAACCCGCTCTGTGTCCATCCTTCCAGAGGCTGTAGGTGTGGAAGCAGGATGTGGAGCAGGGAGAGCGCATCTTCACTCCTCATCTGCCTGCTGGTGCCCACAGCTCTCTGGGAAAGCAGGTGAGCGCTCTTTGGTTCAGGAGACGCCTCTGCAACCTTGGAGCAAACGCGCATATCGTCTGTGGGGGGGCTCTCTGTTTATCTGTCCAGGTGGACTCTTATCATCGGACACATGTGGACCCCCCTCCTGTCTGTCGATAATGAGAGCAGCTTCAGCTGGGCCATAAAAACAGAAGTGATGGGCAGGGGAGGAATGAAATCAAACGCTGCTGGGTTTTCTTACTGCTGGCCTGAGCAGATTTTGGTTTAACGGGTCCTAATTGGGTTGTTTAGGTTTTAAAAATTCCCGTTGATCCAGTTGTAGAAGGATATCAACATAATCCCAGCTCAGATCTCTGCTTTAAAGACATTATTCATCAGATGATGTTTTTTTGTAAATGAGATAATGAAACACACCTATAAGTTAGAATGTATAGATCTGAACAGGAAATGAAGGCTTTTAAAGTCGTAGGGAAGTCTTATTTAAATGTCGAATCATTCTGGCTTAAACATGTATATAAATGTACTCTTTATCAGACCATATTGTCCCAAAAGTTAAAACATTTCTATTTAAAAAATCCTGTCTTAAAATCTTTGGGTTTTTTTT